GTATGGATTGTGATAAGAGATGTAAGAGCCCCCAATAAAAGTATTTTTTTAAAAAGAAACATACATAAAAGGAACTAAGTACGCCCCAGAGTTGCAACTTCCATAAAAATCTATGGCATCTGCTCATTTACAAAACTTGGTAGTAATTTAAAGCAGAACTTTAAGAGTGACAGGCTCAGAGTATGGACTTAGCTCTCCTAAAAACCCACACATTGTTGCTAGAGACAGAGGTTTTAGGAGGCTGGGCATCGGAGTATGGAATCAAATACAGCTCTGAGAACATAGACTTCTCAGCAAGAAAATGTAATTTTCAAATAGCATTTTAGAAAAGAAAGAACTTCTAGGGAGAGCATCAATTTGCCATGGCTCAGAAGATGGTATGTACCTTACAGAACCTCCAAAGGCAGTCCACCAGGGCAGCTAGAAAACAGCCACATCACTTCTTACATCTGAGAACACCATCGGCATCCATAGAAGCCGTGCCACAGGTCCAGAGGTACGAGATTGAGTGTAAAGTTCTTACTGTCTTCTTTAATAGTATGATAAGTAGATCATGGCCCAATAAAATTGGGTTTTTTTTTTCAAACTGATGATCTGTTCTGTAAATTTTCAACTGACTTATAATAAAATGCTAAAAAAAGAGAATGGTTTGTCTTCGCTAGTCACCCCGACCTGAGCACACAGGCCATCCTCTCTGATCCTAACATACCCAAGGGGCCACAGAGAGTGTTGGCGAAATGAAGAGGTGGACAGATTATCATCACTGTATCCTTGAGAACAAGCAAGCATTGGTGAAATACAGTATCATACAGAAGCTGAGAAAGTGTATTTTTTTTTAAACCAAAGTGTCTTTCTTTAATTTTTTTTTTGTCATTTTATTGGGGGCTCATACAACTCTTATCACAATCCATACAAACATCCATTGAGTCAAACACATTTGTACATTTGTGGCCATCATCATTCTCAAAACATTTGTTTTTTACTTGAGCCCTTGGTATCAGCTCATTTTTTCCCCTCCCTCCCCAGAAAGTATATTTTTACATGCATTTTTATAGGCATATCTCAGAGATATTGCGAGCTTGGTTAAAGAAGACCACAATCAGGTGAACATCAAAAACAGAAAGAAAATGTTTAGAAAATGATGATGGCCACATATGTACAAGTGTGCTTGATACAATTGATGTATGGATTGTTGTATGAGCCCCCAATAAAATTAATTTTTAAAAAAATAAAGTATCATATGAAAGTTAGTCATGTGATGGGGGAGGGGGTGTTGGTTTACTGGTACCTACAAAGCTATGTGTACACAACACAGCAATCTATGAAGTATACAACCGCATTCTGAAGACGTCTAAGAATTACGGAAAGATGAAGAGGCATGAAGCGAGCACTCACTCTTAACAGCTCGCTGTCATCGAGTCTCTTCCAAGTCACAGCAACTCTAGGACAGGACAGAACTATCCGTGTGGTTTCTGAGACTACAACTCTTGACGTGAGTAAAAAGCCTCATCTTTCTTGTGGAGCAGCTAGGGGTTTTGAACTGCTGACCTTGTGCTGACACCCCAACACATAATCACTACACCACCAGGGATCCAGAGTGAGCACATGCTCAATAGACTTGACACAAGGTTCCCATAAACCTTCCATTTGTACAAAATGCAATTTCTGTGACATGCAATCAAACACAGTAAGCCAGGTATGTTGGCATACACCTACAAAGGAGTCCTGGTGGCTCAATGACTGTTAGCCAAAGGTTGAGATTCGAACCCAACCAGCAGCTCTATGGGAGAGAAGACCTGGGGATCTGTTCTCATAGAATTCAGCCCAGGAAACGCCACAGGGCCGTTCTACTCTGTCACATAGTGTCTGTATGAGCCACAACAGTCTTCTTGGCACACAACAACATGTGACATAGCAAAGGGTTATGGTGGACTCTGAAGAGAGGAACTTGGTGGGAGGAGGAATTTCTGTTCTGCAACAACCATGTATATTACTTTAATATTTTTAAGTATGTTTAGAGAGCCCACGTGGGTTTTTGGGTTGCTAACCTCAAGGTCAGCAGTTTAAAACCACCTATCCCTCAACAGGAGAAAGGTGAGGCTTTCTACTCCTGTAGAGATTTAGCCTCAGAAACTCATCAAGGGCAGTTCTACTCTGTCCTAGTGGTTCACTTTGAGTCAGAATCAACTAGATGGCAGTAAATGAGTTTTTAAAGAAATTACTAACTGCCTTGTGCAATAAAAAAGGCAGGATAAAGAGTACATTTGGAAAAACAGATAACAGGGAATTAGTGAATGTTTTCAGTAAACGAAATACCAGACTGATCTGGTATCAGGATGTAGGAGATGATGAGAAACTGGGGTCTTGAAGCAGAAACTGGAGTCTTGAAGCAGCCAGAAGTTTTTATTATAGAGCAGACGGAAGCAATAAGGTCTGTAACAGAAAAAATCCATCTATGGTGCCTGAGGAAAAATTCTCTGCAAGGGAGCCAAATTAAATTCTTTAAATCCCTATACTATGTCAAGAAGAGCTGTACCCAAAAGCCACATCTTAGCGATCTTCACTCACAGAAGAGAAGAGAGTCAGCTTTCCCCCATTTGCTGCCTATTCTGCTCTGAGATTAAACAATGGGAAAAAAATCCCAATATATCCTCAAGTAGATTCCAACTCAAGATGCTCCCATGTGCTCCAGATTTTTCAATGGCTGATTTTCCAGAAGAAGATCACCAGGCCTTTCTTCTGAGGCACTTCTGGACGAACTCGAATCGCCAACCTTTCAGATAGCAGATAAGCGTGTTAACCATTTGCACTGGAAACTAGATGGCCTGAAAGACAATCATCATTTGAGGTATTGTGCCTTCATTTTCACTCTGTTTTCTATTCTCCACCTGCTTTGCATTACATACTCCCCTATTCTTACTAAGAATTCTGCTTATAAAAACATTTTCTCCCTATCTGGAGTAAATATGTGTGTGTTGTATATGCATGTATGTTTATATGTGTATATATAGAGAGTTTGTAGAGTCCTAGTCCATTATAAGTGTGCACTAAGTGTTGCTATTGTTACTAATATTATATAGATATAAACAAACTCACTGCCATTGGGTTGATTCTGATACATATTGATGCATTGGACAGAGTCTGCCCCTTTGGGTTTCCAAGGCTTTAAATCTTGATGAGAGCAGACAGCCTCATCTTTGTGGACCTTACAGTTAGCAGCCCAGCATGTAACCCACTATACCGCCAGATGAAAAACAAAACAGTGTAGTGAGTTATACATTGGGCAAGTTCCATAGTTCAAAACCACCAGCAGATCCATGAGGAGAAAGATGAGGCTTTTTCTCTCCCATAAAGATTTACAGCCTATGACGCTTATAGGGGCAATTCTACTGTGTCCTGCAGAATTTCTATAAATCAAAATTGATTCAATGGAAGTGAGTGAGTGAACAATCATTCTATGTATATATACATTTCTTTAAAATATGTTCTAACCTATCTGTACACATAGGGACACATAATATATAGCTATATATGAGGGGGTACTCCCCCAACACCCCCACCAAAAAAGGGAAAAAACATCCATTGCATAGTGTTTTTGTAGTATGCATTTTTCTCAGTAAGCAAGCATCAAGCAACTTGCTCTGAGTTAGTACACCCAGTGGCATCACCTGAGAAGGTTCTCTCTGGTCACAGTGAATTTTTTTGTAAAAGCAACTTCCCTCAAACCTTGTTTTTTGTGATGGCAGATTGAAGAGAACAGCCTGTGGCTGTGAAATTTAGTTTCCTGCTCAGGAAAAATGCCACAGAAACTGCTGTGATGTTGAACACAGCTTACAAGGACAGCACTATGGGAAAAATTCAAGTGTATGAGGTTTTCTCATTTCAAAAAAGGTGAAAGGTCGATTGATGACAAACCTCATTCTGGACATCCGTCAATTTCTCAAATGGATAAAAATATCAACTAATAGTGCATTAGCAGTTCGTTCCACCAGGTCAGACTATTAATCAAGCTTTCTATATAGAGGTTCTGAAAAGATTGCAACAAGAAAAGTCTAATTTGTGGCAGGCGGGGGACTGGTCATGCCACCACGACAATGCATCTGCTCACACAGCCATCTCAGTGTGACAGCTTTTGGCAAAAACAGCACACCTCTCTTGCCCCATAGACCTCACTCACCTGACCTCACTCTGTGCAACTTCTTTTTGTTTCTGCAAATGAAGAGGGATATGAATGGACAGCGATTTGACAATGTAGAATTTATGAAGGAAAAAACGAGGGAGATGCTGTCAGGCAGCCATCCAAACAGATGAGTTTGAAAAATGTTTCCCAGAATGGAATCACAGATTTAACAAATGTATTAAGTGTAATAGAAAGTACGCTGAAGATAAAGTTGTTTTTGTAAAAAAATTTAAATACATAGCTCTGAAAAAATTATGGTTTTGGGGGGTACCTCCTCATATATACAGTTGGTTCTCATTATTCACATGGTTATGTTCTATAAAGTTGCTGTCAACACTGGATTAGTCAATACTGAACCATTGCTCCAAGTGAAAACACAAGGTTAGATTTCTAACCTTTGTTTCTGTGAGCCTTTGGTAAAGTTCATGTTCATGAACACATCAATACATAACCTTGCTTTATATATGTTTCTGTTTAGAGATGCCTTACCTATTTAATATGTACTGTTGAGTCATTGGTATCCAAATCATGGCCAACAGCACTCATTAGCTCCTTTGGAACAAAGCTTATCAAACACATATTTTCTCCACTAAGGCACATCCTATTAAGCTTTTCTATACTTAGAAACATTGGAAAGCACATTTCAGCACTGTTGGGGGGGACAGAGAATGAGCTCTAGTTTACAATTGAGACAGATGGGTGAAGGCCAAAATGCTTTGGGGCCAAGATTCAAACCCAAGCAGTCCCAGTCCAAAGTTGTACTCATTTAGCTACTCTTCTATTTCTCGAGACAGATAAAGATGTCAAGAAGGACACCAACCATAGGTGGAGACACCACAAAGGTGGGGACCCGGTTTTTCTCCAGCATCTCCCTGAGCTGATCCACCTCTGCTCGACAGGCATCCAGCTGACATTCTAATCTTTCTCTGCGCAGTCGTTCATAGTCCAGCTGGTCCTGGAGCTCTTCGATGGTCCTGTTTAAAAAAAAAATGTCAATCTCCAATATCAACCAACAATCATTTTTAGTAATGGTAGAAAGCATCCATGTACCATATATACTCCAATATAAGCTAACCTGGTATCAGCCAAGTCACCTAATTTTACCACAAAAACTGCATAAAAAATGTGCTGAAAAACTCAGCTTATACACGAGTAAATGCGGTATTCTATTTGAGTTACTTATAATAAAGAAATAAAGTATTCAACAAATACATATTAAGTGTCTACACTGACCCAGGTACTGGTGATACAGCAGTGAACAATCTAGATCCAGAATCTCCCCTCATGAAGCTTACCTCAGAAAGGGAGGAAAATAGTCAACCAAACAAGTAAGTGAAACACAGAGTACTTTGAAGGGATAATTGCTATGAGTGAGGGGAAAACAAAGCAAGAAAGAGGTAAAAGGAGTCTTCAAAAAGTCTGTGGAAAATTCTATTATCTTTTAATTCCATTGTCACACAAACTTTTTAAAGCTCCCTCAATATGGAAAATGTTGTGGAGGAGAGGGTTAACATTTCATCTATAGGCCAGGGAAGATCATATCATTAAAAGGGGCTTCTTAGAAAAACCCTAAAGGAAACTGGATAGATAACTTTGTAGAATAGTGGGAAGAGTGTTCTAGACAAAGGGAACAGTAAATGCTAGAGACTCAAAGACACACGTTTGTCCAGCGAACTGGAAGAAGACTCCAGCCGAATATAGCTGGAGTAGTTTGAGAGAGTAGTAGGTCAGAGAGGCGACAGGGAGCCAGAGCAAGGTTACAGTAAGGATTTTGTCTTTACTCTGAGTGAAATGGGAAGCCCATGGAAGGTTTGAGCAGAGAAATGTGATCTGACTTTCGTTTCAGCAAGAGCCCTCTGGCTGTTGTGTTGAGCACGGAGTGGAGGGCTTAGGGGTGGAGAGCAAGGGGACAGGCAGAGGAAGTTGTTACAGACCAAAAAATGTAGCTTCGACCCATTTGTTGTTCCCTGTCCCTAGGTTGACCAACCCTCCTCCCTTCCCCTACCTCCTACACTCCCATGTCCCTCC